AATGCGTTTTCATTAAAATTTAAGTCTACAAGTGTTTACCTAAACGCTTCCATTACACTTTCTTCCATGTGAAACATATAAGTAATTTATTCTGATTTTTCTTTTAAGATAAATATTGTAAATTGTATAACAACATATTGCAAAAAACAGTAATCACAATGTCTAGTGCATTTGTTCCGAAGGGCTCATAATATTTGTATGCTTTAATATAAATAAAAATTAGATTATAATCAATATTTGGCCTTATTCTTTTTTAGGAAAACGCCTAGTTTTAAAAAAAAACATTTAACTTATTTATACAGTTTCATTTATGTTTAAGATACTACAACAAAACAACAAAACTAGTAGTAAAAAGTACCAAAATCTAGCAACAACTAAAAATAAAATCAAGTATGTATGTAAGCATATAAAAAATTATGTTATTTTTTAATATTTCTTATAATTAAATAATGTATTTATAAAATTTTTATATTATTTTATATTAAATTCTTTTTTTGACGCATCTCTAATTTTAAGATGGCGGTAGGAAAAAATTCAGATTTGATATCAAGTTAGATCTTTTATACGAAAAGGAAAAATAATTTGCTATCTTTAACAAATGCTCCGGGTCATTATATATCCATACATATTAACACGATTGTAATTTGAGAATAAATTTTAGAAAAATATAATACTATATATAATAATGTACAGTCATTGACAAAAATATCGAATATTTTTCAATTTTCCAATTTTTATTTTTTCAAAATAATTTATGGTCAACTAAGTCGTTTATTGTGAAATAGAGTTTATTTTAACAATCTTTAATGAACAATTTTAAGTTTTTATGCGGAGAAAATTGCGAAAAAAATAAATGCTTAATAATAAGTAAATAAGCTTATTTTACTCTAAACTCAAATGCTAATTTAAATTGCTTCAACAAATCTTTTTAACTAAAAGAAGTCGATGATCAGTAACGAGTATTTCCTCTCTAGCTCTTATTACTGGTAGCATCCTTCTCGGCATGCTTGCAAGTGAATTTTGGACATTTCCTTGAGAAATTGCATTCCAATCATCCTGTGTACCAAGCCGAAGTTGCTCTATCGTATTTGGAACGGGATTTCTTTGCCGTATGCAGCGTTTCAGGTAATCCCACATGTGCTCTATTGGATTTAAATCCGGGCTATACGGTGGCCAATTCAATCTTCGAATTTGGATCTCTATCCAAGATAATTACTCACTATGGCAGCGGCATGTGATCGAGCATTATCATGCATAACATGAATCTTTTATATCTAATGTAACCAACATATGGCAAAATATGATCTTACAGGATGTTTTAAACGTAAGAGTCACCAGTCATCCGTTCAATCACTTTCACAAGTGCGGTGCGTACCTCCCAACAAATACCTGGGCGAGATTGCAGCTGGCGGATCGCTCTCCAACTCTTCTGTAGATGTGGTTTTGACCATCTGACTTTCATAATAATATTCTGGTCTCATTAGTTAAAAAAACATTTTTCCAGTTATTGATATTTCACTGAAAATGTTATGAAAAATGCAACATCATCCGGTTTATTAAAAGTAATAGACTAAGGTGGCTAGGACACCTTGAAAGAATGGACAGTGGAGACTCCCAAGGACACATATTATATCAAGAGCCAGTAGGAACCAGGAAGAGAGGCAGGCCAATATTCAAAACTCAAATAGAAGATGACTTGAGAAATCTAGGGGTCAGACATTGGAACGCCAATGCGAAAGATAGGGGGACTAGAGACTAATTCTTGAACAGGCCAAGACCCACCCAGGGTTGTAGAGCCAAAGATGATGATGATGATCTTTCACTGAATATGTGTTCTTGCAAATCCTAAACGGCGTGCTTTATGATTTTGGAGAAGATGAAGATTTCGTGTTAAATTAAGAACCAAAAAACGGTCATCAATTGCGGTTGCGCACCTTGAACGTCCTTGACCAGGCATTCGTACAAATGTTTTGTTTCGCGATACCTTTTTAAAGTATTCGAAACTGTGCATTGACTTCTCCTGGAACGTCGTGTGACATCTTTTTTGTCTATCCTTACTCGTACAAAATTAGAATCTGTGCTACTTGGGCTTCATCGAAATGGCAAATTGGTGGTATACTTGATTTTAACTTAGTTAAATCAAAACAATATTTAATTAAACTTAAAAAATTATACTGAAAATAACCGAATTAGTATGATTTTTTATTTCCGTGAAGAAGGTTATTTATGATAAATTGAACGAATGTCACTAAACGCTGAATAAAAGTCAAAATATTTTAAACCAGGTGAGTACATCAGTCTTCTATATGAGTATCATCTTCTTCTTCTGGTTCCTATCCGTTTCGGATGTTGGAAATCATATTGGCAATCATACCTTGCTCGCTGCGGCTCGAAACAGCTCCGTTGAGGTTTTCTTAAACCATGTTCTTAAATTCCGCAACCATGATATTCTCCTTCTACCGGGTCCTCGCTTACCTTTGACTTTACCTTGCAATATAGACTGTAGCAGGGAGTAACGGTGCTGATTTCTCATAACGTGTCCCATTGCAATTTTATGCGTTTGATCGTAAACACAATCTCTTGTTCCTTCTTCATTTTTCCTAGAACTTCCTTGTTCGTGATCCTTGCTGTCCATGATATTCTCAGCATTCTTCTATAAAGCCACATCTCAAGTACTGAGTATCATCAGTAATCTATAATTAGTTTGAAATAATAGTGTCTACAAAAAAATTGGTAAATTCCAAAATATTCGATATTTTTGTCTATGACTATATAATAATGAACGGAAAATTTTATATATTGCTTTTTAACAATTATTATTGTCTTATTAAATGCAAAAATATCTACAAATAATATACAGACTAAATATTTTACAGCGCATTAAAAGGAATTAAATGTGATAAATTTCGAAACCATATAAATAATTGATGAAGTCTTTTAAAATATTTGAAGACATTGTGAATTCATAAATAACCGTTTGAGACAGTCAATAGCTGCAATGGTTGGATGAGCAGAAGTTAGGAACTCACACGGTTTTAAAACTTTGTATTATATAGTCCGTCTAGAAAGTATCCGGAAAAAGAAACCAGAATTATAATTTTACGGTATTTATTTTTATCACTTGAAATATAAAATTTCAACAAATAATTCATCTCATTTACTTATACAACCTCCATTTAAATCTAAACCCTTAACTAAACGTCCAAGTACAACCGAAACTAGGACAAGGCCAAAATTTTCGGTAATGGTGTTCCAGGCATGTAAAGCTGACCGAATCAAACCTTTATCTCGTGGCGCTGCCCGTTCCACTTCAATCTTCATCAGTCGCCATATGTTTTCAATGGGGCTAAATCTGGAGATGGTGCTGGCCACTGAATTGTTGTCAATTCGTGTTCTTGCATCTAAGCTTGAGTATAAGCAGAAGTATTGCATCTTGCATTATCTTGCTGAAAACGCGACTCCTTTGGATATAAAATATGAGCCGTTTCAAGAAGAAAACCATTTACGATGTTAAAATATTTCGCATTATCAACAGTACCATTAACTATACAGAAAGGTGTAGCATTACGCTGAGACATTGCTCCCCAAACCATTATTTTAGTGGGAAATTTGGAAATTTGAGAGGTAACATTTTCTCTTGATAGGACTTTTAGATGATTTGCACCAAGCTGAAAACAACTTTCATCAGATATAGACATTATTAAAATTATCATCTCGAAAAGGTGGACAAAAATCTGTTCTTGGTTGCCTTTGCAGAGGTGTCATTGTAGGGATTTTTTTGGATTCCTTGATATGTAGCCTTGCTTTTTCAATGAGATGCGGACAGTTTGTGGGCACACATTTATTCTTCGTTTTTTTTTAAATTTGTTCACTAATTTTCGAAACCCCCCAATACACTGCACTTTTTCCGAGTTCAGTCAATGCACTAATTTTTTAAGGTTTCGGACACCCTTTCTATACAAACATTCCACCACTTTTCTTTTTTCTACTTGCGACATTATTTCACAAATCTTAAGTCTGTTTACAAACAACAATATTTGACAGATGGTGTTGTCATGCGATTTTGTCCATAACCTACTATCGGCACAACCTACTTGATGCATTACTTTTGTCTTAAAATGTTACAAAAAGGAAATCTATTAAAATTAGGAAAAATATAAAATTCCGGATACTTTCTAGACGGACTATAGTTTTCAGGACCTAATGCTCCCAGAAGAACTAGGAGAAGGGGCAACCTTTGGTAAGTTTGAAAATCTAGAAGGTAGATAATGTCGGTGTGTCTTTCTGGCTACCTAAGTTCTTTCTCTTGGCAAAACTCTTGCTAAGATAAAGATTAAGAAACCAGTTGACTTTCAGAATAAAGGAGTTACTGAATATTGTGAATAACGAGAACTGCATCGCAATCGGAGATATTAGATTGATTTATAGGACTATAATAGTAAACAAGGCATAGGCAAACGTACCATCTAAAGATGAATAACAGAATAAACAGGATCAGGACGTTTTATAATGTTATATTGTGTTAGGCATTTATAGACCGTGGTCTGGAATTGGATCTTCCTGCTGTTTCATTTACAACTAGGGCAAAATTTCAAAGACATTTAAAGACAGAACTCAAAGACGATAGAAAGAGTAGAAAGAAGTAACCTATAGCTACTATCAGTCTAGCAGATACTCGAGGAAGATAATTGATGAGTGATTGGAGCGAAAGGAAGTTACGTTTTCTTCTGTACCATCATAGCCTTTGATAATATCTGCCACAGTGGCGAAAAGAAAGGATTCCAGATTATGGGCTGTAAACCACATTACAACAGGATAATTTGTTGCTCCCAAAAGGATAAAAGAATGTACCTACTAAAGTACAACTACAAATGCGATGATCCTGAAAAAATAATTGCAATATATTGTCTTTACTAATGATAACAATTCATTTTTAAAAATTATAATAATTCATAACAAATGATTATGTCTGTATAGGTACTGATATAAAGTCGTCTTCACTAATCTATTTCAATTTTCGTTACTTTAGTCAAATGTCCACTAGGCACTTCGATTTTGTGTTTGGTTGCATAATGCATTTTCATGTTGAACCTTCTTTTGGACGTAAACGGACAAGCTTTACAAGTAAAAAAACTGGTTTTCATGCAATCAAGTGACATGTGAGCCCGTAGACTGTTAACGTTCTTGAATATTTTTCCACACGTTTGGCAAGATGCTGTCGCAGTTATGGGATCTAAAAGGGAAGTAGTTAAAAATAATGTGCAGATGCTTAAATATACCAATCCATCCATTTTTTATCGTAAATATGACAAATATCAAATTTTAAAAATTACAAAAATTTCGAGATTGTAAAATTGTCTTAACTTGGAAAACATGACAAAACCGTGAAGATTAAGCCAAAAGAACAATTGATAGCCAAGTATTTTCTAGCAGAATAGTTTAATTTTTTTATCAGAAGAAAATAGAAGAAACACAAGAATAAATTATACATAAAACTGTCCAAAAGCAAATTTCTGTACCCATTACATAGAAAAAAAGTGACATTACAAATACACAGTCTTAAAATATTACCTTTAAGGCGTCCTATAACAAAAACATACTATATAAAATGGTTGGATTGATTATCAAGTTACTCTACTACTTACCTTTAATATTTATATTATCTTAAATTTTCAATAAAGTAAGGACCCCTAAGTTGTCGTGGACGAATGAGCGGAATCTAATTTAATCCACGGAATCCACTTTTTACTAATTTAGTATCGCCCTAATAATTTTTCACTCCTAAAACACCCTTAATTGGAGCGATTCTTCTGACTCAAAATTCAAAAAAAGGCTTTTTGCCTATGGCATATAAATATGTTTTTACTCATTTTTCATTATTTTATTACCAACCCAGTAATTTTTCACCCTCAAACCTAATCCGAATGAGAGCGATTCCGCTAGCTTAATATTCAAGCTAGCAGAAATAAAAAAATATATATTTTTGAAATACCAAACTGTTCTGCTAGGTTTTTTACTAATTTATTACCGCCCTAGTAATTTTTTACCCTTCAACTAAGCCTTGTCATATCATGTTGAAGGCAGCAAAACAAAAAAAGTTATTTTCAAGTACCATTGTGTCCTGCAAACTGCTTGATAATCCTTTACCACCTGCTAGGTCGAATTTTGAAATGACGAACAAAATTGACAAAGGTATTTTGATAATGTTTCTGTATTATTGTTACTTAAACCTGTTACTTTTTTAACATCTTCATATTTTTCATCTTTTACCTTAGCATACCAGGCATAAAGTCCGCACTTCACGCTGTAATCTTTGGGCGTAAAGTCGTACTTTTTCGCCCAGTATAAAAAATGCACGTTTTCGCATTTCAAGAGTTGAAAATCACTCTAGACGTGATCCTGCCTAAATAAATGGGACACAGTTTTTTACTATAAAAATTATTGAAAAACATATTGTACTGAGGTGAAATAAAATACATCGAAATAGTATTTTTGGTTATTTTTTTTTTATTAAAATCAAAGGTCAAGAGCAGCATCAAAGGGTTCTCGATGCGCTGATTCTATGTATGTTCAATTTTGCTGTGATCAAAAGTTCTAAAAATTTCATTTTCATGCACGGACGCAGCAGGCGGCCTGTCATTGCGTTATGATCGTATTTTGTTTTTGCAAATAGGTGAAAAGAAATAAAATAAGACTTACAATCAAATTAATTGTTTAAAACTTTTGATCGCTGCAAAATTGAGGATTTTCATTGTAAAACTCGCAATTAGCGCATTCCTAAAAAAGATTTAACCTTGAACAAAAAAAAAGTTCACGGGAATAGAATAAGCGTGTAGATTAAAATTTGAGGTCTCAAGAAATTAGTTCAAGATTCCCTAAGCTTCGATTTTAATAAAAAAAAACCAACCAAAATACTATTTTTATTTTTTTTATGCAGAATATAAAATTTTTCGACAACTTTTAATAGTAACACTAAATGCGTCAGATTCGTCTACGCACAATCACTTCTAGAGTTAATTTTCAACTATTAAAATGTAAAAACATGCAAACCCGAAAAAAAAGTACGACTTAACGCCCGCTAAGTTGAGCGCTAAGTGAGAACTTTACGCCCGGTGTCCTAAGGTGAAAAATATGAAGATATTGAAAAATAGTAAACGGTTGAAGTAAAAGTACGATACAGAAAAATTAACAAAAATACCTTTTTCAATTTTGTTTTGTCAGTTCAAAATTCAACCTAGCAGCATTATTGGCTTCTCATAACAAGTAGTTGAGGGGTAAAATTATTAGGGTAGTAAACGAATAGCAAAAACTTTGCAGACAAAGTACTTCAAATTTACTTTTTTTATTTTGCTGTCTTTAACATTACATAACAAGGGTTGGTTGGGGGTGAAAAATTACTAGGTTGGTAAACACCTAGCAGAACACTAGTATTTCCAAAATAATTGATTTAAAATTCTGCTAGCCTGAATATTAAGCTAGTGGAATTGCTCCCATTATGGGTAGGTTTAAGGGTGGAAAATTGTTGTGTTGGTCATAAATAAGTAAATAATAATGGGTGAAACAATATGCCATAGGCAAGAGGCTTTTGTAACTTTGCTAGCTTAAACTTCACAATGCAGTAAAATCACCCCTATTAAGGGTGGTTTAGGAGTGAAAAAATATGAAGTAGGCTGAATTGCATTCCGCTCATGTGTTCTCGCTAGCTTAAGGGTCCTAATACATTACTTCACTAATAATTCAACATAATTTAAAATTTATATAGTCTGCATTCCTTCACCCCACCACCTATTTTCCGAAGTGTTAACGTTGATAATTTTATGTTTTAAGAGCGTAATCATCAGCGGTGGAGCGTAAGCATCACCATTTTGTAAGATAATTTTAGAAGCGATCACATGGCAAATAATACATAATAGACCTATTCAACCTGTTAATAATTTTTTCATTAAAACATCGGATAAAATATTATATTAATTTTAATTTTTGTGATTCAGAGAATAGTAGGGGAAACAGCAGAGACATACTGTAGATATTTTTAAATAGGAATTTTAAAACTATTATATGTTTAATATGTAATTTGTATGTGATATTTTTAGATATATTTAGATACGTTCTTTAAAAAAAATGTGTCAGGTGTTTAGAGATAATTCACATTATTAAAATTTTTTTACGTGTTTTTTACAAATGTATATTTGCCACATAAAAATAAGAACAAAGACGCTATAGTTTAAAAACTAAAAATACTGTCATTCTGCAGTAAAGTATAGTTAAAAAATACTTAAAATGCATTCTTTACATTTCCGTAATATAACCTCTTCATTGTTTTTGACAGAAGGCAACTTTATTTATTTGTTTTAAGATCGCCATAAGTCGAAATAATTTGTAGATAGTTGGGTTCAAAATTAAAAAAGTTCTAATAATTTTCTCATTTTCTATAATACTGACATAACTCAAACAAATACTAAAATTAATTTTAAACACAATTTCGACTTCTCTGCAAGACTGGCACAGCTCAAAATAATGCATCATTACTCACAGAAAGTATTGCATTATCTTATTGTGTCTTTGAGAAAGGACGGCATATTTCAAAATATGATAATATTGTGCAAAATTTCGAACCAACTTTTTAATCACATATATCGAACAATAACGAAACTTCTACCATCTGACGGCCATATGCATAAACTAACTTGATGAAGTTATCACACAAAAAATATAGAATATTTGAAATCAGTTCACTAACATAATCCATTTTTTACTATGATATGTCGGTCTTCTTCCAAGGTAGAGTTATATTTTTATATCTAAAGTTTCCTCTATTCTACTGTTTTTGTTCTTTTCATTCGCTTACTATTCTAGCTAGTTCTATTATTTTTCTTCAGTTAGTTTTTAAGTTTGTTTTCAGTACTTAATACAGTCGTGCTGATGAGGTTAAAGTATTTTCAGAACCTTATTCTTAGCTTACATGTAACAGATATTCATGTCTTAATTCGTTTGTTTATTGTATATTTGATGAAGTAATTCCAAATTATAAAAGCAGTTTGTCATTTTTTGTATATGGTACGTTCCAATTTTATATTCCTAAACTGGATAAAATAGACTAATGGCTTAATTAATGGCTAAAAGAAACCATAGTGGAATCTATAATGTTAATTAAATTTTAATATTTCTGTATTTTCTTTTCATTTTGTCAACTTTTTCGTGACTTCACCTGACTTTCTTACCAAAATCTGTATTTATTTAAGTACTTGGGTTTTAAAATTAAAGTTTGGTATAGTATCTTTGGCAAACTTTATCTGCTATGACTATGTTTTACTTAATTAGGTCTTCTAGTTGCTTTTCCACCCTGTCGATTAGTCGGATTGACAACCACTTAGTGACATTCTAAGCAACTGGGTTAACCTCAAATCTGATAACTACTACAGAGTCCAGTTCTGAACATGGGTCCTAGGAAAATCCCGTGAGAAATGTTAATCGCTGTCTCCTTAGTTCTTTTTGAGTAAGAAGAAATGGCAGTAAAAATTATTTATTCAACTATAATATACATATTTTTGAAAAACGGAAGATTATATCAAAACATTTCAACAATGTAATAACATAAATCTTAAATCTAACCTGATAATAAATGCTTCTAAAAAATATCGCATCAAAAGTAACCGTTAAGTCTCTCCTCACAAAAAAAACTACTAATTATTAAAAAAGTAAATAAAAAGAAAATAAAAGTATGGAACGTCAAAAAAAATTAATTTAACACAATAAGATTTTGATATCCTGATCGGCAGAAATCCAATCTAGGCATATATTGCCGATAAAGATATTAAATTCTAGACCGTCCTTTATTGTTTCTAAACAGTTTTGAAGAAGTATAGTAACATCTACATGTATTTATTGGCACTAAAAATTTCTTCTACAAATTAATCTTGGAAGTTAAGCTAACTTTGAGTAGTTAGCTTTTCCTTTTTTTTATAATAGGTAAAATTTTGATGTCAGAAGAACTAAACGGTATATATTTCTAGTAACTACAGCAGTATGTAATGGGAACAGTGGTATAAACATTGATACAAAAGGCACTAGGTTGGTATTGATTCTAAAAATATGGTAAAAAGGCAGTGTTTTATGCGACATGCAAGCAAATGGAGTAAATTAAATGTAGAATAGTTTTAAAAATAAAATAAAAATAGACCGCCAATAAACAGGTCGTGTATTTAAAAAATTTTATACAAAATACTTATATCTAGTAGAGAAAATCTTTCACAGTAGACAAATATTTTGTAATAAAGTAGTGTTCTTACTT